GCCAGCCTCTGCCGAGGGCCATGGCCAGCTGACCACAGAAAGCGCGTGGCTGGCCCTGCCCAGGTTGCCGAGCCTCCGCCGTGCAGCCCAAGAGTCCAGCCTTTCCAGTCAGAGGGGTCTTTACTACCACCCCAGGGCATGCGGGCTGCGTTCCCAGCATCTCTGGCGCTGTCCCAGTGCGTGCGGCCACCGTGACAGAGTGCCCTCAGATCCGGTGGTCTTTCACGCTGTCCCACCAGGTGGGGCATCTAATCACCAAAGAAGTGCGTCTCCACCTAGAGGCTGGGGTGGCCGAGCTCGAGGTGCGGTGATTAGGGGCCGGCGTAGGCCACCTCGCTCACCAGCCCGTGCCTGCACTGCAGGCCCAGCCAGCATTCCCTGGGGCCACGTGTCTAAGGCACTGCATGGCTCAAAGGCCTGCCCTGAGGCCCCGGTCCTTCCGGGAGACCCGGCCTCCCCAGCACCCAGGCGTTAGGGTTTCCATGTGTGAGCCCCGGGAGACCACTGCAAACACCCCGCCCTCACACAGAAGAGCAGCTAGCTCGTACAAGTGACCTCCGCCCGACGAAACCTCTTATCTTCCCCTCGCGGAAGCCCCAGAAGCCCCGGGAGCAGGCAATGCCCACACCTCTCCAGTCCCACGCACAGTCACATGACGTGCCAAGACCACGTGCGGTCACAGCGCCGAGACTAGGCCGGGGCAGCGACCACTGTGCTCCCTGGCAGAGGAGACAGGTACACGTGCTGCCGCCGAGTTCGGGAGGAAAGCCGGCTAGCCGCTGTCCACAGCGACCTCCCGGCCCCTGGCGCTTGCCCTCTGGCTGGCGACAGGTCACGTTCTAGCCTAGCGCACCGAGGACAGCTTGTACGTGGGCTCGGGCTAGCATTTCCACGGCGCACACCCTGTGTGTGACCTTTGTCAGTGATAATTCTAAAATTAACAAAAAGCCTGAGCCTCCAGCTGCGGCCCGCTCCGCCTACACCCGCAGCGCTCCGTACTCCGAGGCGCTTTCCCGTGGGAAGCGCCTCTTCCGCACTGGACGCCCTGCGCTGCGCGCTCTGAGCAAGCCTGGCCTCCAGGCGCAGGCCAGAGAGAACAGGGAGGGGCACGGCCTGCTCACGAAAGCGCACCGCGGTGGGGACGCTCCAGACAGGCCGTCCCTGCTCCCGCGCTTGGCTGAAGCGTGACTGCGTCTGGGTGACCCCATCCCACAGTCCAGTGTGGTCCCCAGAACGGGCCGACAGGGCTGCCTGCGTTTATGCTAAGCGAGGCACTTAGAAATCAACTGCTGGGTTTTCAATTTTTGTTGTTTGTACATTTTAATTTATTTTATTTATTTATTTATTGCAATTTGACCAGAGAGGGACAGAACGAGAAGGAAAGTGAAAAGGCAAGCCACCAGGTCCAGCCCTCGAACCACGGTCGAGGGAGTGGGAGTCAGCACCCTTAACCACCTTGCCACCTACGGGACCCAAAAATCAACTACTGTTGGGACCAGCAGGAGTTTGCGTAATGACTATGTCACTGGACTCCCATATAGTCGACCACAGTTCGAGTCCCAGACCTGCTGGCTTAAACTCACGCCGTGCGTGCGTGCCCAAGATCCCGAGAGGAGAATGGAGAAGGGATTGCAGTGTGGCCATCCCCCTGGGGGGTGATTTCTCATTTTCTATCTCTCTCTCTCTCTCTGTCTTTCTGGCGAGCGCAAGCACTCTATAGCAAAAACCTTTCCAAAAAAAAAATAAAAATACTGTTAATTATCACCATTTTTAAAAAGAATTATTTTATTTAACTTTATTTATTTTAATTTCACCAGAGAGGTACAGAGGAGAGAGAGAAAGGAAGAAAGCAAGCCACCCAGTCTAGGACTCTAACCGCGGTCGGCCACGTGGGAGTCCAGCATTCTTAACCTCCATGCCACTTGCCGGCCCAATTATCACCATTTTTTAATAACGCCTGTGTGCTTGGAATGCAAGCGCACTTGCGGAGGAAGGGGAGCTGGAGACCACCTCCGGCCGACCATAGGAAGCTGTATTGGGGCTGGAGTTGGAAGCATTTCCAGGGAAAAGTTTAGTGTTACTTTGTAACTTTTTGTTCCACTAACTGTTTCTCAGCTGGGGGATCTGTTTGCAACAGGGACATCCAAAGAGAAGCTTGAATGTTACTTTGTTCAATTTCAGGCTGACAGATAGAGCCCCTGGTGCTCCATTAGGAAGCTCCCGGGCAGGTGGGGAAAGACAGGCTGCGCCTGCACCTGCTTCTTCCCTTCTCCAACCCAGCCAGGAAGGGAGGAGGCCAAGTGCCACCAGGACTGATCTGAGCAGTGTGACCTGTGTCCGCGGGTGGGCGTCGTTGAACACGAGGCCCTCCCTGCAGCGTGCAGGCCCAGGAGGGGCCTGTGCCTTGCTGTGCCTTGCTGGGGAGGCTCTGGGGGAGGAGGGGGAGTGCCAGCAGGGCACTGGCCTGGGAATAGTGGGGGGATGAGGAGGTGCCTGGGTGCAGAGCCAGCTCCTTTCCTGCAGCAGAGGCCCCCAGTGCTGGCCCACTGTGGAACTGCACTTGGGCTCCTGTCCTGGAAGAGACTCCCGCAGGGGGGTGTGGCAGGGGTGTGCAGAGCCTCTTGCCTCCCGCAGGGTGTTGTGGCAGGGGTGTGCAGAGCCTCAGAGCACATTCCGGCTGAGGCCCAGACCCAGCCAGTCTTCCCACAGCCCCTGACCAGGGCTCGGCGTGGCACCCCGACTGCTTCCTAGACTGAACTGCTCCCGTAGGCAGCGGCACTGCTGGCCCTGCTAACCGGAGGCTTAACCAAATTCCTCCCAGAGCTGTACCCAGCCAGCAGGGCTGCCCAACCTCGGGCTCCAGGAGAAAGCAGCCACGCAGTCCCCACCATCCCCACAGTGAAGGAGCAGCCCGTGTGGCCTCCAGGACAGCCTGAGGTCAGCAGAAGGGCTCTGGCTGACCTCAAGGTCACTCCCACTGTCCATATAGAGCCTGGCCCACGAGAGACGGTGGTGGGCATCCAATGCCCATGATGGGGCAGCCAGCTAGGGGTCAGGTCTGGAAAGGCAGGGGCCGACTCCTCAGGGCACGGGTCCAGGCGACAGACCCCACACCCTGGCTGGCTTCCCAGCTCCCCAGCTCCCCGTGGGTTAGGCAGATCTGGCAAGAAGGGGTCCTTCCAAGGATGGGCCCTCTCTGCCTGAGGCCTGGCAGGGGCCGTCTCCCAGGCTTGGCACAGTCTCACCTCGTTACCGTGGGGCCCCAGTGGGTGTCTCGTCACCCCAGGGCACCTTTAGGCGGCTGCCCATGCTGCAGGGGTGCAGGGCTGTGTCCTGCCAAGATTGCAGCCCCTCTGCATCTTCGTGGTGTGACCCTATCAGACTGCATGAGTGCATGGGAGGTCCCGAGGCTGCCTCCCTGCGTTCCTGGTTCCTGAGACTCTGCCCACTGGCTTACCATTGACCCGGCACCTTGGCAATGTCTCACTTACTCAAGCTTTCTGTGAGTGAATGCGCACACCCGTGTGCCCAGAGGCCGGCTGCCGAGTGACAGCCCTGTCCTGTCTCACGCCCTCCTCCCTCTTCAGTCGAGCCTCTCCAGTGGGGAACATTTTCCGCTTTTCCTCCAGGAAGAGCCAAGGCCGGCTCCCTGGCAGCTGCGGGGTGCCCCCAGAGTGCCCCTGGCCAGCCTGGGCCCTGCTGTGCTGCAGTGCCAGGAGCCACCACTACCCTGACACTGAGGTGCTGACCACACCTGGGCCTCCCACTGTGCGGCCACTGCACATGTCACGCTCAGGCCCCTGCGGCTCCCTGCTCTTCTGTCTTCCTAGGCGATAAAGCCAAGGCTGGCTGACCACAGGCCAGGCGGGGCGGCTTCGGGCCTGTATCTCTGCTTCATCAGAGGCCCTCCCACTTCCAGGCACAGCCCTGCACAGGGACGTAGGTCTGCAGGGTGGGAGGATGGGAGCAGGGCGGGAGCAGGAAGTACGGCTGAAAACGAGCATTTCCTGAAAAGGCTCCGGTACGGTGGAAAGGAAGGGGAGGCGGTGCTGAGGGAGAGGACTGGGAGCCCGGCAGGCCAGGCCGGCAGCACTCCTCCCCGAGGGCAGCTCCAGCCAGGGGCCCGCCAGACCTCCGCCCTTTGCAAAGCCCCGGCAGGTGACAGGCACAGCCATCCGTCCTCACCACGTGCGTGCAGTACTTTATTCCCACAAAGCCCGGTTTCAGACCCCCATGGAGGTACAGGTCCCGAGCCCCTGGTGTCAGCTCGGCGGGGCCTCCTGCAGCTGCGTGAGCAGGGGGTCGTCAGCCCGGAGGGCGAGGGTGAGCGTGCGGCGCTGGTAGTGCTCGGGGTCCCACTCCAGGTTCTCGATGACGTCGGCCAGCAGGTGGGCCCGCTCCACCCCCGAGCCGGGCGCCTCGAAGCCCAGAGCGGTGAAGTGGACGTGCAGGTGGTAGTAGGAGGGCGGGTAGTGCAGGTACACCCGCAGACGCTCTCCTCCCACCTGGTACCGCCGCAGGATGGCTTCCTGTGGGACGGGGACAGGGAGGCGGTGGCCGGGGCGGC